CTCATATGCGACGTGCCCACAAGGTGGAACTCTACCTTGCACATGCTGGAGAGACTGTGCGAGCAGCAGCAGGCGTTAGTGGAGTATCTGATGCAGCACGCACGGGTCAGTCACTCTGCGGAACAGCACCACTTCACCACCAATGAGTGGGCCTCCACGCGACACCTGTGTGCCATTTTGCACTGTTTCGAGTACTCCACCAACATGGCCAGTGCCGATGACGCCGTTCTCAGTCTTACTATCCCGCTTCTATGTCTCCTTGAAAAAAACGCTTTGGGCAATGATGGAAGAGGATGTGGCACAGGAGGAAGAGTGTTCATTTCTACGGTTATCAGGCCAGTTATTCACAAGTGGTGGAGGGTGGGTTCCTGCACCAGCATAGGCCAGGTACACAATTGTCCAGCCAGGGCACAGTTCTGGAGGATGGTGACGATGAGGATGAGAAGGAGGAGGAACCGTGTTCACAGCAGAGTGGCACCCAACGCAGCTCGTGGGCATCATTGGAGTGTGGCTGGGGGTATACGGAGGACACAGACGATACACCTCCCACAGAGCACAGCTTGTCCTTTCCTCTGGGCAGCCTGGCACACATGAGCGACTACATGCTGCAGTGCCTGCGCTACGACTGCAGAGTTGCCCACATTCTAACTTGTGCTGATTACTGGGTGGCCACCCTGTTGGATCCCCGTTACAAGGACAACGTGCCGTCCTTAATTCCCTCACTGGAGCATGATCGGAAAATGCGCGAATACAAGCGCACGCTGCTAGATGCGCTGCTGAGGTCATTCCCATCTGACACCAGGGGCTCAGTGGAAGCACAAGGCGAAGGCAGAGCAGGAGGAAGAGGTCGCCAACGCAGCTGGGGCACCGCCAGCACCTCAGAAGGCAGGGTTAGCATGGCCAAAATGTGGAAAAGCTTTGTCAGCACGTCACAACAACCAGCACCACCGTCTGATATGGAACGTCTTAGCAGATGGCAGCATTTCAGCAACATGGTGGAACAGTATGTGTGCACACGCCTACACATACTGACTGATGGGTCTGCCCCATTCAACTTCTGGGTCTCCAAATTGGGCACATGGCCTGAGCTTGCCCTTTATGCCTTGGAGGTGCTGGCCTGCCCTGCAGCCAGTGTATTGTCTGAACGTGTGTTTAGCATGGCAGGGTGCGTTATCACTGACAAGCGCAGCCACCTGTCCACAGCCAACGTGGACCAGCTCACGTTTATTAAAATGAGCCAGGCATGGATCCCACCAGACTTGTCTGTACCTTGTGCAGAATAGACATTTATACTAGCTTCACCCAGCCAGTGTTATACTCAAGTGCACTTATTCTTTGTTTTCTTTTTTTGGCTATTGGCTACCTCCTCCTCCTGCATCGCCGCTTCCCCTTACACCGCCACGGTCACCGCCTCCTCAACCTATGGGTCACTTAGTATAAACTATGTACACAATAGCAGAGGCTTGTGAAGGCCTTTTCTCCATGCATCAGGAGTTGAGCATTTCTCCATGCATCAGGACTGTAAGAAATGCACGGCAGGCCGCAAATGTTTCTTTTTTTATATGTCCCAATATTTTGGGGGCTACCCCAATGAAAATAATATATATATATATATATATATATATATAAACAGTGTTGGCTACCTCCTCCTCCTCCACCGCCACTTCCACCTACACCGCCATGGTCACCGCCTCTCAACCTATGGGTCACTTAGTATAAACTATGTACATAATAGCAGAGGCTTGTGAATGCCTTTTCTCCATGCATCAGGAGTTGAGCTCAGTTTGAACAATGAAAGAGAATGCCCTGCACTCCAACCCTCTCTCAAATGGATAATTCTGGTGATCCTCCTGACAGCCATGCTTTACATTTTCATTTATGTTCTTCCAAAGCTAATATCAAAGATTCCATCCAGTGCTATTTTATGGCTTAGTTGTATTTAAAATTTTTATGTTATTTTAAGTGATTTCTCTATCTACATTTGTTTGCATGGCACTTGTCCTACTCTTATCCACATTTTACTTCCTTTTGCAGCCCTCAAGCCCTTTCCAGGAGTTTTTTAGAGGCATTTTTGTGCCCAAAAGTTCGGGTCCCCATTGACTTCAATGGGGTTCAGGTTCGGGATCAAGTTCGAGCACGAACCCAGACTTTTTTTCAAAGTTCGGCCAAACCCGCCGGACCCGAACATCCAGGTGTCCGCTCAACTCTAGGGATGAGTAAACATAATATAATAAAAAAGTGGGAAGAGACAGTTCCCCTTTAAAAGTAAAAATAACCATAATGAACTAACCCCAGTTGCTTCCTTTTAAAAAGATTTGTTTTTGATATGATATGTTGCAGCATGCTGCAAAGTATAGCTGAATAATACCTGGAATGGGCTCTAGTTCGTGATCTAAGGAGAATACAATAGTAAAACTGCACATTTTAAAGTGGCCTTTTATAGTGGCCAGCCTAAGGCACACCTGTGCAATAATCATACTGTCTAATCAGCATCCTGATATGCCACTCCTGTGAGGTGGATGGATCATTTTGGCAAAGGAGAAGTGCTCAGACAGATTTGTGAACAATATTTGAGAGAAATAGGCCCTTGAGTTCAGCTCATGAAAAATAGGGGCAAAAACAAGTGTTGCGTTTATAATTTTGTTCGGTGTATATATGCAAACTGAGACACAACTCCACAAGCAAAATCCACATATGCATCTACCTCTCCACATACAAAATCTCAGAAAATCTCCCCTACATACATGCATACACAGTGCTTCAGGTAGGCATACACCACTAACAGTCTTCCCCTCAAACATGCAACATCACGAACAGCCTCCAAACGCATACAAATTCACATGCAACCTCCCTACACACACACACACACACACAATACCCTCTCCCAGTCCTGTTCCTCCTTAGACTTCTGATGCTCCACTTATGGGGTCACCTTATGTCCCAGCTCTTCAGCAGGGCTCTGTGCATGAGCTGCAGTGGAAGAGCATCCAACTGATATGCCAACTTTGGGTAGTATGCATGTTATTGCTGATGTCACAAAACACTCCTCTCTGACCCCGATCCACCCATATTGGGCTGTTCTACTTTTATATGATCAGGACAAATTTTTGTCTCAGTCGGGTTCTAATAACGTATATTAAAACTTCATAGTGAGTGAGTGCTCTCTTTTCTTTTCCTTCCACATATTCTATATGTGTGTGTTTATATATATATATATATATATATATATATATATATATATATATATTGAACTTCTAAAAATCTACAATTAACTTTCATTGAATTACATAATAATAACATTACATTTGAATACAAATTACAGATAATATGGGTGGTGCCATAAGCAATAGAGATATCTGACTTGCTGCCTGTGCCACTCAATTTAGCTAGAATCTGTCTTGTGATTATTTACACAACATAAAATCTCTGAAAGTTGTTTAAACAACATACTTCCCAATACTAAGAGGTTTCAATCTAGGTCACAGAGTGTGATTTACTTGGAAAGGGTGTGACATACAAGTTGACAGTCAATTAATCAGAACAGATTATATTTTAGTGCGTTCTCATTTTATTATTTTCTCTGTAAATGCATGACATCAGATCCTACATTATATCAATTGACATAATTTGATGTACGCACACATATGTTCATGTAAAAACACTTACGTTGTAAAAACAAGGAGTATCCTGCTAACAATGTCTATGACGATAATAAAAAAATGTAGAGCTGCATAACTGGTCCTGTTACTTCCTGGTTTGGTTAGCTCAGTGGTGCTAAATTCAAAAGACCACAATTGCCCAGAGCATCTGCCTTGCAAAAGACTTATCATTGAGCTGCACTGGACAGCCACAGAAAGTCTCAGCAGGGTTAGAAGGGGAGGGCTTGCAAAGGCTTCAGACCATATATTTGCAGGTTTTACCACCTGTTTTTAGATACACTCCCAATGTTTTCATTGGGGTTGTATCTACTTATCACTGATTTTTATTTATTTTTTTGTATTTGGGCAGTGGAGTGTCCCTGTAACCGTTACAGGACTACAAACGTTTGCAAATATTAAGTGATCGAAACTAAATTGATATCACATGGATACAACCTGGAGAATCATAGCCAAGAAGGAAACGTAGTAACAAAATTGAAAAATCACATAGCAACATTGTGATACAAAATAATCAATCAAAAATAAAAATTATACTTGATATATGTCACAAATTGAAATTTTTTAAATTAAATCAAATTTGATTTAACCATTGGGTTATTTGATGGAATAATTGCTCAAGTAACCTGTTTAACAGAAAAGGTTGGTATTTTTTTCCATTCATTTAATATTTAATAGGAAATTTATACCAAGAACAATGTTTCGGAAACTCAAGGTGCCACTCCCTACCTCCAAATTGGTTTGACTACTTACAAGGAGTCCATAGTGCCAGAGCACTCAAGGCCCCATAATTGCTATAGCGCACTGTAGTGGTTATGGTGTTTCCCTGTAGGTATCCCATCTATAGCTGTATTTTTCATTTACCACTATAAAGGCTTGATGGAGCATCTTAGTTTATTTTAGTTATACTTTACGCATTCTTCATATATCCATGTATGATATACTCATGTGTACAGAATTTACGCCATACTGTTTAACCCATGGAGATGCTCCTGTCAGTTTTCTAAATCTCCACTTGCCTATGAGCCAAGCTATTCAATTTCACCATCAGAGTGAAAAACATTTCCTTGGAACTTGACAGCTGGTTGAAATGAAGGCAGCATTTTATGGATTCTTTTCTTTTGTATTTGTGAATCACAAATGACTCACTTGAATCTGGGCTGTAAAACAAAGGTACACATCTGCAATTTATCTACAGCATTACTCGTTTCTCAAAGTATGGGTGAACTAATATCATGCTCCTGACTGATTTCTGAAACTGATTTCTAATTTAGGAAAACATAAACACTGCGTATCTTTTTGATATTTTAACTATTATCTACCAATGTATTATTTTTAGTAAAAGAACCATGTCACCTTGATATTTTCGTTTGGCTGGATTTTTGAGAAAACATGGATGAACTTCTTCTTTTTGACCTGCTTTTGGATTGCCCTATGTGCCAAAGGAAATTGGATGTCACTGCCAAGGTACTGCCATGCCAACATACCTTCTGCCAACCTTGCCTGCAGAGGTTATTGAAAGCAAAGAAAGAATTCAGGTGCCCGGAATGTCTTACCCCTGTATTTTGCAACATCGAGGAGTTGCCAGTCAACATGTTTTTAGTGCAACTACTGCATGGCGTACGAGGCAGGCAAAGCCTTGTGAGAAAAAACTCCTTACAAAGAGTGGGTGGGCTGTTTGCCAATGAATCCTTCAAGAGAAATCGAGAACAAAAGGCAAAATTTGATCTTCAGTACAGGATTTCCTCAAAGGCCAGGATGCCCAGAGAAGAGGTAAGATGTCCTACTCTAATTATCTATGATTTAAATGTCATGTAATAGAGAATCCACAATGTCAGTAAGTCAGAATTACATGTATAATGTTTGAGTCAGTAACAAGTTTGGACATCTTGATCGTTCTTTTTTAAACACAGTGTTAAATAGCAAGTGTCATTAATAAATTATAAATTGTTTGCAGTTAGTATGTTATAAAATAAGCAAAATGTGTATGAGCATCTCCAGAGATAGCAGCAGGGAAGATGTTAATAAAAAAATTGTAACTGTGTATGATTGTACCCCCAACAGTCAGTATGAACAGTTTAATGTGACTTCAGCGAACGACTAAATTTGTTACCAGGCAAGAGTTTGGGGTTTTTAATGTCTTAATGGTTTCTATCTCTTATCCAACAATAGAAATAAGCAAATGTTAGAACATCTCTCACAAAAGCAAGATTTTACTGTTTTAACTGAAAAAGGGTGTGAATATAATGAGAGCTTTGAACAGTCACAAATTAGAATATATGAGTTTAGGAACGTGCCAATTTTCGACTACATAAGATTTATCTGTACATGTTTATTGTTTTTACATTGTAGGTCAAAGTTAATAAGGTTGCTATAAATCTCCGAACTAGGAGTCATTGTTAAAAATGCTTAACTGTTAACCAACTACTCCCACAGTATTCTCCAAATAATATAGTTTAGGGATTTTTTTAATTCAAGGTCAGTTGGTCAGTCTAGTACAGGGGTAGGCAACCTTCGGAACTCCAGATGTTGTTCGGATTACATCTCACCTGATGCTTTGCCAGCCTTGTGGCTGTAAGAGCATTATTGGAGATTCAGTTCACTCCACAACATCTGGAGTGTCGAAGGATGCCTACTTCGGTCTAGCATAATCACTTTCTGTGGGGGACAAAGTTGGCCATCATTAAATTATATGAACTACAACAGAGATTTTAATTTTTCTATTCTTTCTTGTGAAGTGTGTATGAAAACAAAATATTTAAGAATTTTTAACCTGGTTCATAAATCAAAGCCAACAGAAAGAAAAATATACACAGAATTGATCGTTATTAACAATGAAATAAAAATTAACCTGAGGCTTTCAGCCTGCTATTTCATTAGTCAGAAGAACATGCTCGGCTGGAGGTACTAAAGGACTTATTAGATTTGTTTCATTTTTTTATAGTACTAAATGTTTTAGTTTTGTCCTCAGAAGGCCAACTTAAAAAAAGACAAATTAAAAACTCACTTTTCTATGGGTTCATCGTTCATTTTTAAACACAACTGATATGTTTAAAATTGAGGTAAGTATAAAGCACACTTACCCCTGCTGGTTCTGCCATCTCCATCTTGTGTTAGAGTCTGGCAGGTCATTGGTCTAAAATATTTAATAAAATGATATTTATATTATATTTATATATGTACCAGCAATCTCCTTCTTGGTAATGTCCTAGATCATAGGTAGGCAACTCCAGATGTTGAGGATTACATCTTCCATAATGCTCTTACAGTCATAATGCTGGCAAAGCACCAACATAAATGTACTCCACAACATCTGGAGTGCCACAAATGCCTACCCATGTCCTAGATCATACGCTTGTTTCAGCAGGGCCTTGTTTACTTAATGTTTTTATTTATAAATTAAAGGCTCACTATAGGGTCAGGAACACAAATATGTATTCCTGATTCTATAATGCTAAACCCACCATATAGGTGGTTTACCTCCCCTTAGCCCCCCTATAAAAGTTTAAACTCACCTTATTTACAGCACCATGCTGGAGCTGGCTCCGCCCCCTTTGTGACATCATCAAAATGGCAGATTTTTAGCCAATCCAATGCTTTCCCATAGGGAAATATATCCATGTATAATATACTCATGTGTACAGAATTTACGCCATACTGTTGGAGATGCTCCTGTCAGTTTTCTAAATCTCCACTTGCCTATGAGCCCAGCTATTCAATTTCACCATCAGAGTGAAAAACATTTCCTTGGAACTTGACAGCCAGTTGAAATGAAGGGAAAGCATTGGATTGGCTAAAATTGGCATGAGGGCGGGCCAAATGGTGTTTTGGCCAATCAGGACCTCCTCATAGAGATGCATTAAATCAATGCATCTCTATAAGGAAAATTCAGCATCTACATACAGAGCGTGGGGACTTGAACGGCAGGCCTGTTTACTGTGCAGCCCTGAGCCAGGAAGGCCCCCCATCTAAGTGGCCACTTGGAGGTGTCCCTAAGGGCAATGTAAACACTGTTTACATGAAAATGCCTGAAGGGAGCTATTATACTCACCAGAACAACTACATTAAGCTGTAGTTGTTCTGGTGACTATAGTGTCCCTTTAACTCATGTTATATCCCTACTATGTAACTGTAAAAGCATTAAAGACTACTTTGGTACTATGTAAATGCTAATAATCATAACAATAATAATTATGAGAAGTTTATCCTCTCAAGCATTACCCTGGAAGACCCTGCTTATTTGGGCAATTAGTATAGAAGGTAAAGAGCTTAATTTTGCAAAAAGAAAAGTGAGAGAGGATGATAACTTTAGGTTGCTTAGCAACATTTAATTTCAGTGCTATTCCATCTACAGTTGTTTGCTACTCCCGTGCTAATTTTGTGCTAGACCAGCGTGATGTTTGTTAGAGTCAACTGGCACTCAATACGCAAGATCACAGTTCCCATATGTCTCCTAGGTGTGCTGATCATTATGGGATTGCAATCATGGGGTTTACTTTTATATACATATTTATGAGGATGAGATCATATATTATACATATTGCACATTTAAAATGTTTACATAAAAATTGTCACACGGACGTTCGTGTGCCTTTGCCATTTGGCCAATATGTAATCTGTCATAGCTATAAACTTGTATAAACCTGAAAATTTTTACATGGGTGTATTCACAACCTGTGATTTATTGACATTTTATTTTGTCTCTTTCGTGTATGCTAATGGAATCTTTTATGAGTGCACAAGATATAAACAGAGTCCAGATTATTTATAACATTTGTATTTTACTGGAAGTCTAATTGTTTGTCAAAACATGTATCTGGCTCATTTAGTATAGTTTAAAAACATACAAGTTTGTGAAGCAGTCTTCAGTTATAGGTACATTTGGTTTGTAAAGAAAATCATGCATGAAAACTGTTTTGTGCTGTTACCTGTATATTGGTATATATATATACTGAACAAAATATTAAACGGAACAGTTTTGTTTTTGCCCCCATTTTTCATGAGCTGATCTAAGACTTTTTCTATGTACACAAAAGGCCTATTTCTCTCAAATATTGTTCACAAATCTGTCTAAATCTGTGATAGTGAGCACTTCTCCTTTGCCAAAATGATCCATCCACCTCACAGGAGTGGCATATCAGGATGCTGATTAGACAGTATGATTATTGCACAGGTGTGCCTTAGGCTGGCCACAATAAAAGTCCACTCTAAAATGTGCAGTTTTATCACACAGCACAATGCCACAGATGTTGCAAGTTTTGAGGGAGTGTGCAATTGGCATGATGACTGCAGGAATGTCCACCAGAGCTGCTGGCCGTGAATTGAATGTTCATTTCTCTACCATAAGCAGCCTCCAAAGGCGTTTCAGAGAATTTGGCAGTACATCCAACCGGCCTCACATCCGCAGACCACGTGTAACCACACCAGCCCAGGACCTCCACATCCAGCATCTTCACCTCCAAGATCATCTGAGACCAGCCACCCGGACAGCTGATGCAACAATCAGTTTGCATAACTAAAGAATTTCTGCACAAACTATAAGAAATTAGATTGAGCCAATATTCAAACTGGTACACTAGAGACGGGGGTAACCCCATATAAGAAACTAATATGAGTAGACAAAGAGTAGTGTATTAGTGTGAACTGGGGTATCATATACTCTAATTAGAGTGCCAGCTAACTTCCAGACTAGGAACAGTTAAATGACTTCCAGACTAGGAACAGTTAAAATAAAAAATAAATACATTTTATTAAATAATATAATGTTAAGCTAATTATTTACAAGGTGCTCGTGTGCAATAAGTGAGTGAACCAACAGGTGTGTGATAGATAGATCAAACAACCAGCTACTTTAGTAAACGTGAAATTCTGCTATTCATGTAAAGTTAGTCTCAACATATCAAAATTGCCTGTTTGCGGTGATATGGAACTGCCTCTTACTGGTAGTATGAGGATAGGTATATGTATAGTAATTTGCTATAACCCATAAGTACTGATTGATGTAAATTTGCTAGGTAACACAACAACCTGTTAAGGGATCATAATATATGATTAAACAGAAACTGATAGCGACATTACCTTGCACACGTCTGTGCCAGTGTATATCTCAGTAAAATACGGCAAGAGGGGAAAATAACATAGCAATAGGAATATACGTGGGGGGGAAAGTGGGGAGGAGTAAACTAAGCGGTTAGTCAGAGTAGATGCCGAATCTATAAATCAGCAGAGTGGCTATCTGACTATGTAAGAGGAAGATAACCAGTGTAACCAAGGTCATATACACAAATTTTCTGACCGATATCTTTCATTGGTATTGCCGATTTGAATAGATATTCGAGTAGTGCTATTGGAACGGAATAATAAGTACTAAGATCTTCACTGCTTAAGTGGTCTCTATAAATTCCCTTCCGTGCCTAAACCAGTCCCTCTCTCTATTCCCACACTCAATGTCAGGTTTGTCAAAGTAATTCTCCCATGCTTACAAGCGTGGTCCCACGCTGAGTGGCTTTCTGACTGTATGAGAGGAAGGTAACCAAAAGATGAAGTACTGTGGTGAGTCCTATGAGATCTTTGCTGCTAAAGGGATCTATATAAATTCCCTTTCGTGCCTAAACTAGGCCTTTTGTGTACCTAGAAAAAGTCTTAGATCTTTGAGTTCAGCTCATGAAAAATGGGCGCAAAAACAAAAGTGTTGCGTTTATAGTTTTGCCCAGTGTATTTGACACCTTTTCACTTGGGGCAATTAAAAAAATAAAACAATTCTAAGGCTAAGCTCATTTAGCTTCTTGAGGTTCAATATTAAAATGACAAATGAGGAAATTACAAAATATAATTTTTATTCATTTTTAACATCTTATCTCATCATATGATGCACAAGTAAATCCAGGCTGTTTGTCTATCTATCTATCTATCTAGTATTTTTTAAACTTAATATTTCATAATTTACCAATGTGAGAAATCACACATCTGAGCTGGAAGTATCCCTAGGTTAGACTATAAGGAAGAGTTCATATTAGAAGCCTAAAGAAATAGAGATATGATGAGTTAATGCACAGTGAGTGCTATTTATAAAGAGCGTTGTAAATGCAAAAGATGATAAAAGCTATAAATATGGACATGATATCCAGTGGGATTTCCTGGATGTTTCCATTGGTTTACATTATGGTTGCTCCACTTTTAGAATGTTATAGAGAATCTTACATTCTCTTATATAGTGTGTGTGTGTATATATTAAGTTTATCTCATATATATAAATATCTATCTATCTACGTCATTGTACTAAGAGTCTGCTAATTTAATAGATATATTTTCTATTTTGTCTCTTTATACGTACATAAATATTAGAAGAGCATATGATAATTGACTGCGGATAAGTTTACATCACTCACTAGGGAGGTTTCCAA